GGAAGAAAAATTGAGTGTACTATAGGCCTTTTGACCTGTTTGATGCCAGCATTATTAGGCCATAGCATGCAAATTACCTTCCTAACATATTTTAATGAAAATTGATGCCGTGAAAGACTGAATTGCTTGTCTGTGACGCTTTCTCTCAGTTACCTGACTCATTGTTCATGTAGTGCTTTATTTCTTAATACTTCTTGACTTTGTGATTACTTGCCTAAATTTGAGAGTTGGAATGGAACCGTACCGAATGAGGTCATATACATTGTGTAATGTGAGATGTTGATCACATTCTGGGCAATTATGTGTTTGTTTAGAACTTGCCCTGTGTGTTAGTCGAAGCGAAATAAGTAAGCTTTGTGAGGCTAGGAGATGATATAGGCGTTTCTTTGATTGTCCATTGAGCTATTATGCCACCATAAATAAAAATTATCCTTAGATAGCCCATTTGAGCCTATAAGCTTTTTCTTTGGCACCCACATTACAAGCCGAGTCCCACTTTGTTCTTTAAGTAAATTTTTGTTGAACCTTTACCTCCGAAAGCGCGTAAGTCGCTAGAAGAGTAAGGTGAGGGTTGGGGTAGATTTTGAGTGAAACCATAGAAAAGGCCAAAAAGGTGCACGTATGTTTGAAAGATCATTAGCCGGGCAACCTAAATTTAGGGAGAGTGTTGGAGATATTATAATATATATATATATATCATATATATATATATATATATAGACGAGAGAAAGATAGAAAAGACAACCTCCTATTCATTCATGATCCAGATAGTGAATGCCAGAGTTGTGCTTAAGAAAAAGGGCCAATTGTATGTGGTTTCGTTGGCGTTGCTTTGAATTTGTCATTGAAAAGTGTATAGTGGAATTAAGTGTAGTGTATTAAAGTGCTTAGGAGGAGCGAGTCATATACAATCCAAAATATTATCCTTACTTTGTCCCTTAGCTACTATACAACACGTAAAGACTACTCCTCCATCTCCAGGTTATGTGACCTATTTCTTTTTGCGTTCTTTCCAAAAAGAATGACCCCTTTTCTAATATGCAATTAATTAGCTTAAACTATAATTTTACCCGTTAATGAGAAGGCTTTTACAAACCACAACAAATACTCATGGGACCATTTTTTGACTTGTTTAGGACCACAATTCCAAAAGTCTTTATTTTTTTCTTAAACTCTATGCACACGTTCAAACAGGTTCACATAAATGTGGAACGAGGGAGTAATAATTTAGAACTTTGCGAGCTATAGATTAGGGAGATATATTTACTATGGCAAGCCATGTACAACCACGGTGCACAATGCCACGATGAATTTCTTTGTGAGAGTGAGTGTTCTTTTTCATTATATGTGATGTTCCTTAAATTATATTTCAAATGCATATTTGAATGCTGGACGAATACGTCTTATTCTTTGGATGATGGCACATTGATTCCATGACGGATAGTACGATAAACATATTTGTTGGGTGAGTGCAAGAGTGAGAGTGCTTAGTGCGACGAGCGGTCTTTGAGGTTGGATGGTTATGGGTTAGGTTTTTGAGTGTTTTATTAAATTGGCCACTAATATCGGCATGTTGATAAGTTGGAAAAGGTTGAATGCATATGCGCAGGCTTAATTGTTGGTATCAACCATGGCTCATATTATGTGGATGTGAATTGATGCCAAATGTTCCTCCATTGTATGATGTATGCGTGCATTATTTGGTTAGCAAGGATTTAGTTGCTCGAGGATGAGTTACAGAGCTTAAGTGTTGGGCGTGGGATGTTAGGCTAAAAATCTATATTTTTGCAAGTAATTTGCCTTGTATTATACCTCAATCTTAACTTTGGTGTAAATATTTGTGACTCGAGCCTTAATAATGATGTTTATATGTGTTTATGAGTCAATTTGAAGTGATTTTGGCAAGCTTGCATGCAAAGTGAAGTAAAAACAGAAAAATTATGGAGGGGTATGATTTTGGTGCCCAGGTTGGCGCCAGGCACAAACCAAAACGCCAATGGCAGAATAGCATAGAAGTGCAAATATTCTGGTTGCAAGGTTGCGCCCAAGCGCCCAAGCGAGACGGCTAAGGCGGATTTCGTCCTAATTCGGCTAGGCTTGGTTAGTTTCGACCCTACACGCCCCAACATGTATAAAAAAGGGGTCTAAACCTATTTCCTTGGGGGGGGGGGGGGTGGGAGACATTATTGGAGAGGCAAGAAGGCTACGGTAACACTTGGAAGCAACGAATCACAAGAGTTTTCTCTTCCGTTCTTCCTTAATCTATAGTTTAATGCTTTCAATTATTATCATAATTGTTAGTTTGGTTATATGTAACTAAACTTTCTAATCTAGGGTTTGATGGAACCTATTGGAGGATGATTTTCTAGTACGTTTAATATCGATTTGCCTTTTATTTTTCTATATTTGTTCAACTATATTTTCATTGTTGTTGGTTGAAGAGCTCTCAATTAACTGTCTATTTAGTGTGTATATTGCTCGAGAGAGCATACATTTAGGTAGTTGTTGAATAACATTACTCCTAAAGTATGTGAGACATCAATACAGAGGGTTTAAAGGCGGGATTAGAGATAACGAAATCTTGGTGTGATCGTAGTGAGCGGTGAATTAGTGCCAGCTAGCATAGTTCGAGAGAATATGTCAAGTAAATTGTGGTAGTTGCTCGAGAGAGAGCTACGACACCCAAAGTGCTCACGATTGGTAGAGAATACTTAGGCGAATTTATAGGAAACGTAGTGGGGGAGATTCCGACAAGAGGGGAAATCGTAACTCTAGAACCCTCCTTAATCTTTTCTCCAACCCTTAGTATCTCTAGTTATTAATTTACTACTTTAATTTGTTAGTTAATTAGTTAGACATAAGAATCTTAATATTTATAACTTAGAAATTGTTCGAGCTTGTCTTTTTAGTGATAATAAACAGTTGTAGCTAAACCTTAGTTCTCTGTGAGATTCAACTCCGGATTTTGTAAACCAGATTATATTTGCAACGACCGCTTTATCCTTTTTATAAGGCATAGTTGGGTGTGATCATTATTTCGATATTATTGTTAATTATTCGTATCAAATGATTATTGCGTTTATCATTATATTAGGAAAAATAAGGACAAACAAGTGTATGACAAGGTAGCAACAAAATAATATCCAAGTTAAAATTTTTCCAATCTATTTGAACCAATAAAAACCAGTAATTCTAGCTCAAAAGGTATCCGGGCCAGCAGCTACAACACACAACAATAGATGTACGTAAGACAAATAAATAATTGCAATATTATTGTTTAACGTGAAAAAACCTCTTCAATGTGAAGAGTGAAAAGCCACGGGATCAAAGCTCCATTATATATCAATGAGAGAGCTATAACATGGATACAATGTCAATATCAAACACAGAAAAATAATTGCAATAAGTATATTCCAAAACAAGTCTATACAAAGAGAAAATCACTAAAAATACAGCTACTTCACGATCCAAAATCTGAAGCTACAAGACTCCAACTCGTGCTCCATCAGTTTTCACTCGAAGATTATTCAGGATAGGCTTCGTTCAGCTCAGTCCAGGCAAAAGAGATATGCCGACCACAAGGTTTGAGATTTGGCTTTCATGGTCGGTGAGCGGGTATTGCTTCGAGTGTCGCCTATGAAGGGCGTGATGAGATTTGGGAAGAAGGGCAAGCTTAGCCCTAGGTTCATTGGTCCGTTTGAGATTCTTGATCAAGTGGGAGAGGTGGCTTATAGACTTGCATTGCCGCCGAGCTTATCAGCCTTGCATCCTGTGTTTCATGTGTCCATGCTTCGGAGGTATCATGGCGATCCCTCCCACGTGTTAGATTTCAGCACCGTCCAGTTGGACAAGGACTTGTCTTATGAGGAGGAGCCGGTGGCTATTTTAGACCGGCAGGTTCGTCAGCTGAGGTCGAAGAGTTTTCCTTCTATTCATGTTCAATGGAGGGGCCGGCCTGCTGAGGCATCGACCTGGGAGTCCGAGTCTGATATGTGGAGCCGTTATCCCCATCTTTTCCCCGACTCAGGTACTTCCTTCTTCTGTCCGTTCGAGGACGAATGGTTATTTTAGAGGTGGAGAATGTGATGACCCAAAAGGTCATCACTTGCTTTTAAATTTAACTAGTAGTCGTACCCGCGCGATGCGCGGTCAATATTAAAAAAAATGTCACTTTGTTAATTTTTCGATGTTACATTTGAAATTATCACAATTATTTGAGTATCCTATTCTATATAAATAGAATAGATATTGTCTAAATTTTAATAAATAAAATCTCCATTAAATTAAAGGGACTTATATAGTCATCAAATAATTATTTTGTTATATATTTTTATTTATTATATTATCCAATATTTAGTATAATTAATATTGTTAATAGAAATTACGGCACTTGTCATTATAACATTTCTTTGCCTCTCCTATTATATATATATATAGATATAGATTTCTTTGACTCTCCTATTATATATATTATATATTATATATTATACATATATTATATTATATTATATATTATTTATACAAATAGATTTTTCATTTTTTTTATTTTAAAATAATTTTAAAACTCCAATTTGAAACTACTCCCCAATTTGAATTAGTAATTCATTATTTTATTTAATTTTGTTTTTTATTTTAGAATTATTTTAAAACTCCAACTTGAAACTAATTTCCGATTTGAATGGGTAGTTTTTCTTCTCTTTTTTCGTTTTTTATTGGTAATTTTTTTTTTGTTTTTATTTTAAAATAATTTAAAAACTCAAACTTGAAACTACTCCCACCCAATTTGAATGGGTAGTTATTTTTTATATATTTATTTTTCGTTGTTTTTTATCATATTTATTATACGATATCTATATTTATTAATTCAAATAAAGTAATCAATTACTATATATATATATATATGGTAATTTTTTTTTATTTTCGTTTTCTATATGTATATTATATATAAATAGATTTTTCGTTTTCTTATTTTAAAATAATTTTAAAACTCCAATTTGAAACTACTCCCCAACGTGCTGGTTGATGACGACGAACAGCTCCTGCGAAGTGTAAACGATTCATAAGGAGTGAGTAAAAACAGTTGTATATTTTCTGTTTCAGTGGGATACACTGTGAAGAGTGATATATTCAAATAATCATTGAACGTCATGACTATAATGCTTCTTTATTAAAAAAATAAAGAGACTACTTCTAATATTCCTATATGCATCCATAAGATGAGTGGCAGTGAAATTTATAATTTGCAAAACTTGAAAATGTTATTGAACAAAGATGACTAATTCATTTTCATTATATACTATTTATACATTCACATCGGAAAATGAGATAAAATATTAATGTACAGCCACAAAAAGTATACGATGGTGAATAGGCAGACTTTACTACCAGAAAAGAAAGATGAAAAGCTTCAACTATGTTGTCCATAACTACAAAATGTGTAAACTAAGTAAAACAGAAAAGTGAAAGACAATAAATAACTTGAAATGATTAAAATACGATGTTCATAACTAATAAAAGTACTAATAAAACTAATAAGAAAGTTTTTGGTTTCTCCATGTGTTACATGTACAAACACATTATGTTGTTTTCTTCTTCTTAAATACTCTCTTGATTTTATTTCCTGACAACTGTGTATTTGGATCTTCTTCAACCACTGTTGCGGCGTTAGTTAAACTCATCTTCGCAAGTGTTTTTGAAATATCAGTTAACTCGCTCTCTTCGGTAGAATCCTGCACATATAAAATACAAAGCATTCTGAAAATAATTAGTGAAGTTATAAGTGCTACAGCTTTATTAGTCTATATGCAGGAAAAAATGCATGTATAAGAATCAATAATGTTAATAAATATTAATAATGAGTTTCCAGCTGCATATAGAATAGATAAAGTGAACATTCACAAATTTTAAAGGTATAAAACAATCTCCAGATCTTAAATTTTATTCAGAAACAGATCCGTGGAGATATATAAGTCTATGTCATTTTAAAGGGCAAATTAAAAATGGTGACGTATTTACCTCACATTCCTTCTCTCCATCAAAGTCTTGATTGTTATTGAATTCCGGGTCCTTTCGCAAAATAATAAATAAAGAAGTGTCAACTTATGATATAAATAATGTAGTTTAAAATAAATTTGCAATGTAAATATATTATGAATTTTGTAAGCATATATGACATACAGTTAAGTCAAATGAAGGTGGATCAGGACTATATTTCCTTATCAGTTGCTCCTCATCCGTAAGCTTAACAACACTATAAACTTCCTGTTGCAATTGAATGTTCGAGCTCTTCACAATAACCTTAAACATGAATTTTCTTTCGAGAACATTGTTCAGCTCTACTGGATAAGGATACTTATCAACAACGCCAGTATTCTAGAATGAAATTTTGGGTTAGAATTTTTCAAATAAATAATATGAATATAATTAGTTGATATACCGCAAGAAATCCTTCCTTCAATTCTTTTGCGGATTTGCCTATGAGAAACATTGCTTCACGGTCCCAAAGTAATAGGGAAACAGATCCAGTAGTATCCATTACCCTAACCTGAAGCTTGTACCTAATTGCACAGGAAACATTTGAGATATAAATATACATTTACGATGGATTAAGGAAATAAAGTTGATGGTTTTACCTAATAACTGCTGAGTTATCTTCATTTTTGCATTTGGGGTTTGGGCATTGATAAATTTTTCCTACTTTATCCACCTTCTTTTGGCACTTCTTGCAACTGACATACGACCATCCTTTTCCAAGTTCTAAATTTTCTATACTTGCGACAATCCAACAGGGACCTTCCTGTTTAATAAAACGATTAAACTTTAAATCGTGACTTATAGAGATAGCGTATATGTGGGAAAAAAACTAATAATATATAATTTGCATATTTTATATAACATAAATTATGGATGTCAACCAATATGTCATTTGACAGGTGAACATATAAAGTATGACATGCATAGATTTGCATGGAGTAAGTGCTTAAGAAAAGTGGAATAATGTATGTAAAACGAAAGGCGATGATTTCACAACATGTGGGGTAGGGGCAGACCAATCTATATAATATGTTTGTGTTTCCATTGAGAAATGCTCATAAACTTGTCTGTTGGAGAATGCAAGTGTAATGTGGAGCAACATTGCACAGGCATAGCACGGATTCATTGCTTGTCTAGCAACTAAAAAGAGATTGTTCACAAAAGAAAGATTAGGCCAAATGCAGATTATACTTACAACAGACATAGTTGTTGTTTATGTGATGATCAAGCAATTGAAAAAATCCAGCATTTATTTGGCAATTGCCTATGGATATAGGCTATTAGAAGATAACTATTGCAATGGAAAGATATTCAGCTGCATGATGGTTAACCTAAACTGGTTTTTGAGTCTATTCGAATAAAGCACAGGTAGAAACAGAAGAAGGAAGTGATGTCTGTCATATGGGCAGCAAGTATTTACCAGGTATCGACTGCCAGGAATAAAAAATTATTTCAAAGAGGAAATGTAAAAGTGCATAATGTATTTAAACAAATTAATAACCTGTGACAGGGCCAGACAAAAATATACGATATGTTTGTGTTTCCAGCAAACAATACTCATAAACTCATAATATATAACTTTTTCATGACGGATCTCTTTAATTTATAGCAAGTTTAGTAGTTAAGTGTGTTCTTATGGAATATAAGGTATCCAATTCAATGGAAATGAATAAATACAACAGTTGCTCCCATGATAGTTGATACCACTTTGTGTGACTTAATACATAATTTGGCCTGTGTTGACTGAATTCTCAGTAAAAACAGAGTTGGCCGCTTTGGAAACGATATAGCAATATATACGAAGAGGCAGGAAATATGGGAACCAAAGGGGTCGACATGGAAAGGCACGGTGTTCGGACTGGCTGGACTGTCTTTAAGAGATGACAACTGTTAAACGTAAAAGTTTGTTTAATCGCACTACCCAACGAAATTCTATTGCTGAAGCTGCTACTCTTAAGAATGCCAAGAACTGAACATACTGACATTAGGGGGTTTTTTGTTGGAAGATCTGTGAATTCACGCGCCCTTGTAGAGTTTTCTTATTTCATATATGTTAAGTATGAAATGTAAAACATAGCCGAATCTCCATATTTATAACAATTTTTGTTTAAGGAAAGTGTTATTTTACTAACATTTTAAGTTTGAAGTAAATTTTCAATATAGTATGAGTGGTTACTATATTTTCCTTGTGTCCATTAATATGAAGAAAGAAACTAACATGAGGGCCAACGATTCCAGTGAATAAACAGACCTGGCATGTGTCGGAAGGGGAAGATTTCACAAAATGTGAGGCAGGGACAGAGCAACCTATACTATCTGTTTGTGTTTCCATCGGAAAATTCTCATAAACTCATAAGATGGAGAATGCAATTTTAGGTTGGAGAAAGTGTGCACAGCCGAAGCAGAGATTTGTTAGTATTCAATATGATAAGAGTGGTTAGTATATTTACTTTCTATGCATTAATACGAAGAAATAAACTAACATAAGTTTGCAACGATTTCACTGAAAACACAAAACTGGCATGTGTTCCATCCAATATTATAAAAACTAACATTTTTTCAACTATACATATTTATGCAAATGGATTATATGTAAAATAAAAACTCATTATATTCTAAATGTTTAATGACATTTTTATGTAGTAAAATAGAAGAAGCAATGGCTGAAATCTCAAAAGAAAACAAATAGAAAAGAAGGTGTTTTGAAAAATCAAAGAAAGAAGATAAAAAGAGTTAACTCACTTGCATGGACTCCACTAATTGGGCAATTATTTTAACTTCAGCAATGCCCTTCTCTAACTCATCCGAAACAGAGTAACTTTGTTGAGAGATGGTTTGAGTCAGCCTCTCAGAGGAAATATCCCGAACAGAAAGTAATCTATATTTATAAATGAGGATTAAAGTTAGAAATATACATCAAAATATAGATATGATTGGAGATACATGATTAAAATATATTTAACCTTCTTTTAAACTCGTCAGATTGAGGAAAAGTAGGATTAATCCACAACTTTGATGTATTCCAAGTGTTGCGCACAGAATATGAATCTGAAAAAAGCGAATAATTTGTAACATGTAATGAATAACTTTAACAAAATTATGTAAAATTGAATAGTTGCATGTTACCTTGAAATTTATGGGCTTTTATGAGTTGCATAACAACAATAACAGGCTGGTTGTTAGAACTTAAAAGGTGAGGTATAACTTGATCAACAAATTCGCCCCAGAATGTAGCAGATAACTTGTTCCTCCTGTCAAATAGAAATAAGGTAAAATTTTTAGAATATGTATTTTAAAAATATATCATTAATACATGGTTGTCTGTTTATTCTTACTCATCATCTTATAGTTCGATATCCATAAACTTCCTAGACATTTCACCTTGTTTTTGCATGTGTACCTCACTAAAATTCGCAATTTCTCCTATAACATCTAAAGGAAAAAAAATAAGTTAAAATAAGTAGCATCAATCTATTAATAATAAAGATGAAAATAAAAAGATGTTAAAATAGGTAGAATCAAACTATTAGCATTTAACGGAAAAAAACAATTAAAAAACAAATATGGTAAATGAAATTAAGGTAAAACACAATTATTACCAAATAATTCACTCTCGTTAACATCAACTTTATTTATCAATTGATGATATGGTCGGAGATCAAAGATATTCATTGGGAAAAGTGGATCACTTGTTTCCGCCACTGTTGTCCGTTGAGTAAACGTCAGCATCAGTCTATGTTTTGTGGTGTTGAACCTCTCCTTGTTTTGGCAAACGATAAAGTTCGCCATAAGATATAATCGAAGCTCATTAATTTTTGTGTTGAAAAGGTGCAAAACTGACTTGCCAATAGAAGCATATATATGATCGCCCTACAAACAACAATAAATAACAAATTATTTAGAGAAAAAAATATAGTTTTGCAAATTATTGAATTACCAGGTTAGATGCAAATCTGCTGAGGAAAAGAGCATGATGGATATTTGTTACATCATGTTGAACTCCATGATGGATTATTTGAATTACTCACATATATACTACTGTGTGTATATATACAGTGCTGTTGGTAATTGCTAAAAAGTTTATAGAGATGTAAAGGTGGTGCAGATTGGCAATAAACTTGGTTAACAGTTGCAAGTGTACAAACTATATATTCTGCATTCTTTTTAGTTGAAAGAAGTTAACATTCTGCATATTTATATACTCTGCAACTTAATTTCTGTAGTTGTTAGATTTTGCATTTTCTATGTATGTGATGACAACATGCGTTAGCAAAAAAACATGAAAACAGAATTCTTTCTTTTGACTAAATAAAGTAAACTCCACCTACTGTGTGTATATATACAGTTAACCTGCTATGTAAGCATGTTTTTACAGATGTGCAGGTGGTCAACATTGGCAATTAACTTGTTTTACACTTGCAAGCAAAGCAAATCAATGTATAGAACACTTGGAAGGTACACTGTTTTTTGCAATTTGAAAGTATTCATATAACAATGTCACAGAGCAAATAAAATCTATATATATTGATATTGAAATTTCGAAAACAAAAAAGGAATTACACAGCGAATAACATATTTAAAATACCTTTTCATCTTGTAGAACCAATTCAATCGAGAATATATTTCCAGGATTAAAACGATCCGGTATTTCCCACATACGGACAACCCGAACTTTCAACTTCCATTGCATCTTTGAAATTGTTATATCCTTGATGAAATCAATGTGATTAGTCATCTTTTGCATAAGAAGTAACTTTACTTGTAATCTTGATATGAAAACGAAAAGTAGAATTGCAGTAGGTTAAGTTGTGGGAGGAAATATATATTTGCAGTTTTTATCAGTTGGAACCCACTATACTAAATCGTGGGTTACACAGTTGAGCGTATTGTGATTTAGCAGAGACAATTTAGGGTAAGTTGTAGGTAAAAAGTTTAAACCTAAAATTGTGGAGTTAAATTTTACCCCACGTTCAGTTAATTAAAATTTTTTTAAAAAAATTAATCAGATATATGAAGCCCAGAACGTTCAGTTAATTAAAATTTTTAAAAATAAAAAAATCAGATATATAAAGCCCAGTATGAACGGTTGGTTTTCCCACCAACGTGGGTAGTTTGAACGGTTTGTATACCCACCCATGTTTATTTAATAATTTTAAACAATGAAAAATAAGAATTTTCCAAGGGAAGGTGTACAGTTTTTGAGATTGACGGTTTTGAAAGTGAATTTCATTCGTGTACTTCCAAAGAAATTGGAGCTTTGTCTGAATCTGCCAAGTGTCTATTGGGAATACTGCCACTTGGCTTCATGACATGCTTTTTTCCTCAGCTTTTAATTATAGATAGATTGGGTTTGAATACTGCATAAGTGCATATTCCTTTTTGTCAAGATGAAAAAGCTGATTAGTTGATCATTTATAAATTATCATAAATAATACTTAGAAGATACATATCATAAATAATCTCTAATAAATTTAATTTGATCAAGGTTTGTCCTATTGAGTTTCCATAGTAAGTTTTTAATATATCAGCTAGCAACACATATTATTAATAAGTTTTTAACTAGTCGCATTATTTATTAATAAATTGTATTATATTTTTAAAATAAAAACCTTTATAATTCTCTACATTTATCCCATGACCTCCTCTTATTTCTACTATTATGTTATATTTTTCAATTTCTTTCTGTTTAAGAGAACATATGAAGACTGAACTAAGTGAGATCGTTGTGGTTGGGTGAAAGGTGTTCCTCCAACTTAAATCAAGGGTTTTATATTTGAGCCTTGAAAATTAAATTACTTCTAATATTTAACCAAAAAAAATCACTTCTAATAAAAAATACTTTACGCCTAAAGTGAGAATCCTCAATGTGAATCAAGATTAACCCGACTCCCAAAATTGACCAAAAAATAAGCTAGCGTTTGGCCATAGATTCCAAATTTGTTTTAAGAATCTGATTTGGGTGAAGTTTGGTTTGAAGATGAAAATGTGTTTGGACATACGTTTTCAAAATATATTTTTCAACTTTATTTTGGAAAAACATGTATATAATTCCCAAGTTTTGGAATTTTGGCCAAAATCAGCTCAATAGCTAATTTTGGGATTTGAAATTCCGGATTTGGGATTTGGCCAAAATATGGGCAAAATTTATGGCAAAACATGAGTTTTGATAATAAATCCCAAATTTATTTTGGCAAAACTCATGGCCAAACAGGGCTTAAGCTAGCGTTTGGCCATAGATTTCCAAATTTGTTTTGAAAAATCTGATTTGGGTGAAGTTTAGTTTGAAGATGAAAATGTGTTTGGACATAAATTTCAAAACATATTTCACCTTTTTAATAAAAAAAATATGAAACATGACTTATACCCACAAGTTCTAAAAATTATCACAAATACCCAACAGTACCTTTATCAATAACATTCATTATATTATCGCAAACCATATTCCTGAACATAAATAATTTTAGTACAAAATATTATTTTTATAATGAACTACATAATACACTATTAGGTGACCGAGAAGACGAAGCAGCATCGTTACAAAATAATAAATAGTGGGCCTTTTTATAAAAAATAAAAGTTTGGGGTAATTTTTAAAAAATATAATAGTTTGGGATTTGGGATTTGGGTTTTGAGTTTTGGGAATTTGCCAAATGTAGAGATATATTCTCTACATTTATCCCATGACCTCCTCTTATTTTTACTATTATGTTATATTTCTCAATTTCTTTCTATTTAAAAGAACATATGAAGACTGAACTAAGTGAGACCATTGTGATTGGGCGAAAGGTGTTCCTCCAACTTAAGCTAGCGTTTGGCCATAGATCCCAAATTTATTTTGAAAAATCTGATTTGGGTGAAGTTTGGTTTGAAGATGAAAATGTGTTTGGACATACGCTTTCAAAACATATTTTCCAACTTTATTTTGAAAAAACATGTATATAATTCCAAGTTTTGGAATTTTGGCCCAAAATCAGCTCAATAGCTGATTTGGGGATTTGAAATTTGGGATTTGGAATTTGGAATTTGGCCAAAATATGAGCAAAATTTATGGCCAAACATGAGTTTTGAAAATAAATCCCAAATTTATTTTGGGAAAACTTATGACCAAACGGGGCCTAAATCAAGGGTTTTATATTTGAGCCTTGAAAATGAAATTACTTCTAATATTTAACTAAAAAAAATCACTTCTAATAAAAAAATACTTTACGTCTAAAGTGAGAATCCTCAATGCGAATCAAGATTAACCCGACTCTCAAAATTGACCCCAAAAAAAAAGCTAGCGTTTGGCCATAGATTTCCAAATTTGTTTTAAAAAATCTGATTTGGGTGAAGTTTAGTTTGAAGATGAAAATATATTTGGACATAAGTTTTCAAAACATATTTCACATTTTTAATAAAAAAAACATGAAATGACTTATACCCACAAGTTCTAAAAACTATCACAAATACCCAACAATACCTTTATCAATAACATTCATTATATTATCGCAAACCATATTGCTGAACATAAATAATTTTAGTACAGAATATCATTTTTATAATGAACTACGTAATACACTATTAGGTGACCGAGAAGACGAAGCAGCATTGTTACAAAATAATAAATGGTGAGCTTTTTTAAAAAATACAAAAGTTTGGGATAATTTTTAAAAAATATAATAGTTTGGGATTTGGGTTTTGAGTTTTGGAAATTTGTCAAATACAGATAAATTCTATGGCAAATATGTATTTGTCATAAAAAAACCCAAATATATTTTGGCAAAATTTATGGCCAAACAGGTCCTAAGACTCGGGATTAATTGGCTCCCAAAAATGATATGGGTGAGAAACCCAAAAAAGAAAAAAAAGGAGGGACTGATGTAGGAGCTTTTGGGAACAAATGTTGCGTAGTACTATTTTAAGAGACAGAATCACGTAATGATAGATAAATAAAAAAAAGTGCAAGGCTCTCTGGATAAATATTGCAACTTCATCGGGTTTTTCCAATCCGTCAGGAGTCTTATTTCATCTTCACGACAGAGACGAGATTAAGACGAAGCAAAACAAGAACTTAGTAGAGATAATACGGCGTCGTAAATAAACCTTATCCGATCACCAACCACCGTCACATACTCTGATATCAAGCTGTTCCACTTCTCTTCGCTGTCGCATCTTCGAGTTAAGCATCTACACGTGCCTTATTTTATGCTTAATTGGTTAATTGGCACTTCGCAATTCGCTGAAGATTTCAGATCGGTGAATTAGTTTGTCCAAATCGGTGGATTAAAATTATATTTTACTCCAATGGTTTTGATTTTTTGCTAGTTGACTTAATTTAGTAGTTTCTAGATCACTCTTTGTTTCTCTATGTGTCAATGAAATATGTATATTCGAGCCTTTAGTGTATAGTTCTGGTACAATTTGTAAGATAATTTAGTAGTTTCCAGATCGCTGTTTGTTTCTCTATGTGTCATTGAAATATATATTCGAGACTTTTGAAACGGAATGCTTGTTTACCATTGGGCTAGAGGCTGATTAGAATGTTTTTAACCTCCAAAATCAACTTAGAACAAGATTAAGTTGAAAAGCAGGACTGCAATATTCAAACTTAATTCACCAAATATTCTGACTTAAAAGGTTCATACTACCTTATGTTCAAAAGATTTCGACAATGTAGGGGATAAATGAATAGCTTAAAAGAAGGTGGAGTCATTTTGGAATTTTTTTTTCCCTGGAAATGTTTGAGTATTGCAATCTTACTTCTGAACATCAAAAATAATTTAAGTCCTCGCGAATTCACTGATTGTCCAAGTAATACATTTTTCTTTTCAGTAAGAGGATTTATGGAGTGAAATTTTGAGTCCTTATCATATAAGCGGACGTATTAGTGCGTTAAGTTAATTGTTAGACTGTTGATGAGACTAACTCAATTTCCAACCTTAATCTCTATCATTGTAGATGTCCATCATGCTTGTATGAATAGGAGTCAATGCCATCAACTCACCAGCACATATGCAGATGAGCATGAGCACATATATATGTACACAATATGCATAGATGTTTTGGTGTAGAGAAAAATTCCAGTGTGTTGTGATAGCTGGCTTGATTTTTGGAATGTTTAATGTGTAATGTAATATATTTCTTATGACAATTTACACCTTAATGGTGTTTTAATAAATGAATAGTGATATACTTCAAAATGTACATATGCATAAATGTTAGTATTATTTGATATCGATGGGTATTAAGATGGCTTTTTTTGTTTGCAGCTTCCTTGAATCCTTTGTAAGCTGTGAGGTATTCCAGTCCATGCTTGCTGATTAATTCTGTCATTGCACTGAAGAAATTTGGCCTGGTGTAATGGACTCAGGATCTGCTGATATATCAGATTCACAACCTGTTACGGCATCAAATGCAGCAAGGTCTACTGCAGTGGATTCTGCACCAGGCCAGTCAACAGAGGAGGTACCTTCAAAGCTCTCTACTTCAGGCATCTCCTCATGGGCCAAAAATTTAAAAATTCCACAACCGTTCACTGGGTCTCAAGATGAACAATCATCTGGAAATGCTGCCAAATCAACCTTTGCTCGTTTCACTGGTGGGCTTGGAATGCGTATGTCCCCTAAGTCTCCTACAGATGAAAATTCTGAAGGAACGTCAACATCGCCATCCAGTTTTATTGGAACATTCACCAAAGGATTAGTTGACTCTTCGAAGAATGCAGTGAAGGCTGTGCAGGTTAAAGCGCGACATGTTGTATCCCAGAATAAGAGAAGATACCAGGTAAGCTTTTTATTTCTGTTAATGTTTCAAGTGTTCTTTTCTCATTCTTATTATTTTATTTTATTTTCACTTTAGGGTCATCAACTATTAGGACTGTTTTGCCTCTTCCTTGTCCAAAAAAAAAAAAGGAGAGAGACTGTTTTTCCTCTTTTCTTTTTCATTGAACTTCCTCTCTTTGCAAGACCTCTGTCTGTAGGCTGTAGGTTAGAACACTTACCTAATATAGGGTATTGCATATCTATGCAAGACGCATAATTAGGATCAAACTAACTGCATTCTTTTATGGCTCCGTGATGCCAACACATCATTCTTGGTCTCCAATTGTAGGAATCATGGATGTTGCTGTTATATGCCTTTGTGTGAACTATTGACTATGTGATGCAGAACTCCTTGCGGTGGATGATAGCCTGATAAGTAGTAAGAAATATTGGTACAATAAATTCAAACGGTCTGTACTATCAAATAATAGTAATAATAATAATAATAATAATAATAATTCAGGTTCTTTGCAGGAGTATATATCTTGGTCTCTGCGCTACATAGTATTATTAGCTTTCTTGATCATTTTGGCTTTTGCGGGAATTCTTCTTGTGCACCTTAAAGCATCTTGCAGTTACGTTATTTAGATATTTTGCAGTTATATCTTGGCAGATCTAAATTAAATAAATAAAATAATACCCTCTATAGTAGCTTAAGCTTTTTGATAAGATGGTCACATGATTCAATGTTGTATTAGAGTTGGCAAAGGACTTAGATTCGAGTCTCTGCGCCGTACCCATGACCACATGCTTGGCATATGTTAGACCCGCATGTGACGGGACATGGTGAAGATCTGAATAAATAAATATAGATGTCCTCTAAGTGTTAAGTTCTTTGTTGAGGAGTCACACAAATCAACACATATGTTCATTCTTTTTTTGGAATATATTTCTACTTCATATATTAACATGGCAGTATCCTTTTACTAGGAAGGAGGATTTGATTTGGATTTGACCTACATAACAGAGAATATAATTGCCATGGGCTTCCCTGCTGGTGATATGAGCTCTGGCATTTTTGGCTATGTTGAGGTCGGGAAGCCTTATTCTTCAACTGCTTGAAGTCAAATAGTTATCATGTTATGTGATTGTTCCTAGTTTGATTACATTAAATTTGATATCCAGGGGTTCTACAGAAACCACATGGAAGAAGTCATTAAATTCTTTGAAACTCATCATAAGGTAATAACTTCGAAATCTTTGTATTTTGCCGCAGTAGCTCCTTGATCCTGCTTTTTAATAAAGTCTTACCTTATCAAAAAACTTGTGCAGATCTCTGGAAATCCACTTGTCCTTTATTTTATTGTTATATTTGAAATACTCTGTATTATCTATCACTTCGGTTTTGCAGGATAAATACAAAGTGTACAATCTTTGTTCTGAAAGATTGTATGATGCTTCTCTGTTTGAGGGAAAGGTGTGTCCCATTCTTTCATCAAGTTTCTTATTTTTCCTGTTTACTTTTCCTTACTCTCATTTGTATGTGCACGTAATAAACACATACCCTACTTTTGTTCTTCATGAATGTACAGTGAATATGTGAATAATAATTTACATTTACTACACTCCTTTGCATTCTAAGCAACCATTCTAAACAACATATTTCCAGTGGTTCAAGAAGTTCCAAAATGTTTCATGCTCTTAGCACAAAATGATACGAGTAACTTGAATTCTGCTTAAACTATTACACCTATTGGAATTTCCTTTCCGGCCTTTTTTTTGGAGCTACTACTAGTATGACATGCAATTTTAATCTTATTTCCGATTGTGTGATATAGAGTAGGAGATAATTAAAGGAGTGTATGATGGTGGTGAACTTAGATCGATAAGTTTATGTATTTTTTAAAATGAAGTGTAATGTATAAAATATGTATATATATTGGGTAAGTGCTTAGTATTGAACTGGGAACTGTCAAAGTAGCCCCACCAAACTAAACCAGACTGAAATAGTCAGCTTAGTTTTCAAATTTTTGGCTTTTCATGACTTAGAAATTTGTGACCCATTTGAGCAAACTAGAACTGATTAAACTGACCAAAATCCCACTCCTATATTTATATAGTGCTGACAGTGATGTTTTTTGATTCTCTTTTCTTTCTTGTACAGGTTGCTTGTTTTCCATTTGATGATCACAACTGCCCTCCTATTCAACTCATTATATCGTTTTGTCAAAGTGCATACTCATGGTTGAAGGAGGATATCGAAAATGTTGTGGTTGTGCATTGTAAGGCAGGAATGGCAAGAACTGGTTTGATGATCTCTAGTCTTCTTCTATACTTGAAAGTAGGGCTTTCATATTCTTTTGATTCAATAAGTCGTAAGATTGTTATCGGGTCTTGTGTTCAGTGTTAAGACAGTTAAGTTATGTGGTCTTCTTGCAGTTCTTTCCTACGGCGGAGGAGTCTATGGATTACTACAACCAAAAGAGATGCGTAGACGGAAAAGGACTAGTTTTGCCGAGCCAGATTGTATGTCACATGTTACTCTTTTTTAATCCCCATGCTCCTCCAATTGTGTACTGACAAATGATGTGCCTTTTTTGCTAATAGAGATATGTCAAGTATTTCGAACGCATCTTAATGTACTTCAATGGAGAAAACCAGCCTGGCCGCAGGTACAACCCTT